CCCCCCCCCCCAATATTTACTTTTCTGATTTTAAGACATGTCCACTCCTTTGCTCTCCTGAACCAGAACTTCACGTAGCGTCATGAAGTGGCTGTAGAAGCATTTTACCTGAAAGCATTAATATTAAAATACACAAAACTATTAGGTGAATTCAGTTAATATATCCCTGTACTGAGGGAGGAGGATCTGACAGCAGCCTTGAATTCTTGGTCATCCAAAGATGTGCAACGTTTATAAGAAAAGAGTTTCAAGATTCTGTACCCCAGACACTGGTCATTTATTATGTGATTTTGAACTTTGTTCCTCTGAAGGCAAGGTGATGGCTCTTTAGCTTGAGCCAGGCTGCCACCTGCTGTCCTTTTAGTGATTTTGTAAACAGCAGAAAGGAACAATGGTTCTGACCTATGAAGGCAAAGCTCAAAAGAATATTCTGTTCTCCCAGGTAAAGAGCAAGGCTAGTTGATCTGCATGGTCATTTGTTCCATTGGTTCTGAAAGAGATTTCCAGATCTTACAGTCCACTGCCGGCCACGTAGAGGCATGGGGATTGTGAGAACAAAATGAGGCCAGGATCTGCCACAGCACTTCCTAAGCTTGGTTTTTAAATTATATGGCTAAAATAGTTGATAAATTTGCCTGAAAATGTTCTCTCGGGGTGGGTGGGGAAGGCAAGTCTTTCAAAAGACAACACTGGGTTGTCCTAGAGAGACTAGCAGTTGGTGTCTGGGAGGCGGTAGTTGAGGTCAGATGCTGTTGGAGGCCCTGTCAGTTTATAATTGCCACAGAAAGGCATGTGGGTGGCCATGGCCCATGCTGAGAGGGGCTGGAGCAATGGTTAGAAAGTGCTCATCCTGCGACAATGAGGTCATCTTGACAGGATGGTGGGGAAGCTCTGAACCATGACAGCCAAGGGGCCTGGAGAAAGGGCTCCCTGCTGCTTTCCCCACCCCCACCCCCCACCATGTAGACACCTGTGACCTTTGCCTACTGTTCCTGGCATCCAAACTGGAATTTCTCCGTCCCCTCCTCCACAAAACAAGGTAATAGTAGTTAGGCACATTATTAGAAATGTCACATTCCAACCTCACAACACTTCTAATAATTCGGAGCCAGTTTTCAACCCTGTCCTTCAGTTTCCTGGTCTGTAATACGGGGCTAATACGAGTACCTACTTCAGGGGGTGTTGCAATGGGCTAATTGGTGTTGCAGTAGGTATTGACAATGGGTGGTTGAATGGGCTAATACCAGTTTTCACCTGGTACATGTGAACCTTAGCTATTCCTAGCATTATTCTGCCACTTAAACTGGCTGAGTGGGTTCTTTATCTTCTCTGAGGTTCGGTTTGTTCAGCTGTAAACAGGCTGTTCATGACTACCTCACAGGATGGTTGCGAGACAAATGGTAATGGAAGTAACATTGTATAATTGATAGCATAAGGTATTTTACAAATACAATGAATGGGTTTTACTGAGTTGGCCTACTGTAGAGAGAAGTGGGGCCAATTACTGGTGGGAAACCTGTACTTTGAAGTGTAGAAGGCTGAGAAGAAGGGTCCCTGAAGGCCCAGTGCCCTGTCCTTGCCTATGATTATGGGGTGTGGCTAGACTTCCTCACTGGAGGTTGGTTAAACTGAAGAATCTGAGGCCACCCCAGAATTTCTGCACAGTTCTGCCTTTAATGTTGCCCTCACAGTGGAGACCGCTGTCTCTTAGGAGCTAGGTCTGAGGGGGAGGGAAGAGGAGATTCCAGGGCCTTGAGACCCTGGAGGAGTGTGTATGTGGGGAGGGACTCCCCAAATATAGCTCCCTTCCCAGTATACTCTGCCCGGCAAATTGAAGTGTTCCCCA